TGGTTGGTCTTCCAGACCCCTATTCCCATGAACCAAATGGGGCCTAAATAGCTAAAATCAGTATGGTATAAAATATAGGGGCTATTACTTAGTGTTAGACCTGTTCATGGGCTGGGTTTGGGCTGAGCTTTTGCTAAAATTTGAATGGATCATCTCAAAGCCTGAGCCCGAAACAGTGTTAAATGTTCATTGCCCATGGGCATGTCTACTTGGTGTAATTGTAAAGTCTGGGGTTGTCAAGCATGAGAACGTGGGTTCAAATCTAAGAGCAACCACTTGGTGAAAAAGGGGGGCTATTTATTTAGTGAAACCGTAAAATCTGAGGTCCTGTTTGGTTTGCAGGAAAGGAGTTTTGGAATCGAAATTGGAATGGGCTATTTCAATTCCAACTTTTTAGTTGGACGGAATTGAAATCTCATTCCCATTCTTGGTGCAATGACATTCTCCCATTTTAGGGAATGGCCATCTCCCCCCCCCTCCCTTAGGAATAAAATTCCATTCCAGCATTCCAGCTGATCCAAACATTCTCCCATTTGAGGGAATGGCCATCCCCCCCCCCCCTAGGAATAAAATTCCATTCCAGTTCATCCAAATTTCCATTCTAATTTCTGTTTTAATCAATTAGACTATAAGGAATAGATCATTCCAATTCCGAGATTCCAACCATAAATCAAATGGTCTTTGAGTACTTAAGTAATGAACTTGCCTGGTTAAACTTAAAAAAAGGGCCCTTACTTGGTTTAACCATAAAATCTTGGGCTGTAAAACGTGTGAACTGGGGCCAAAAGATGAGGACTGTATCTAGCCCAGTCCTCGAATATCTCAGATGGTTGGGACCAATGTTGGGTAATGGACATAGTGACAACATAAGGGCCATTACCCCTTATCACACCTCTACCCCCTCTTTATCTCTTTCTCTCAACTTTTCTCCAGTAGTAAAATTCAGGGAATACATGGCCATAGTTGCAAATCGTTTGTTTTAGTCCAAGAAGCAACAAATCCCAATTGTTGGATCCACTGAACCGTAGGTCCCATCTTTTCAGCTAGGCCAGTCTGTAAATGCACTGTCAAGATATAACATTTAAGTTGGCATAATAGTGCCAACTTACCAAAAGAGAAGAATATGGTTGAAACAAACAGGTCAGCCTACCCAGAGGGTACACATGCCTGCCCTATCTTGGCTTAGCCTTATTGGCCATGATTGAGTCCTGCCCCATAAGAAAGTAGGATTTGTTTGCTGCCTTTTCTTACTAAAAACCAATTCAAAGCCCTACCTTTGAGCTAATGGCGTGGTACAGCGACATGACATTGCTAGAGGACTCTGCCCATAACCGATGACATATCTGCTCACACTAGTTATCTCTATCTACTGGTTAATATAAGCATGGAGTAGGTTTTGTTTTGTATGTTATTTGATGTCAACGTTATATTAACTGAAGCTATATATAATCGGAAGAAAATGAAAAATATATTAAATAACTCATGAGAATTAGAGGATAGAATATAGGACTTGGCTTAGCATGACAATCACCATAATGTTCAAATATTACGTTTCAATAGCATGTTCAGTCTTAGGGCCCATTTGGTTCTTAGGAATAGGGGTTTGAAATTGGAATCAGATTGGGCCATTTCGATTCCAACTGTTTGGTGGGATAGAATTGGAATCTCATTTCTATACCTTATGGAATGACATTCTTCCATTTGAGGGAATGGTCATTGCCTCTCCATCTTTTGGGAATGAAATTTCATTCCAATTAATTTCAATTTTCATTATGATTCCTGTCTGAAATAAACAGATTATGGGAATAGACCATTTTAATTCCGGCTACAAACTAAAGCGCCCTTAGCATTGAGCTGTGAATAGGTCAGGCCTATCTCATAGAATCAAACTGACCAAACAGATTATGTTGGTTCTAGTTCTGTGTTTTATCTCTTGATTAATTATTGGGTTGGCGCTAGTTCTTAATGTTTCCAACCAATTATATGGTTAATAATATAGGTTTTCTGGGTTTCTTGCAATTTTTGCTATACTTTATGTTTAGAAAGATAAATTTTATTAACAGTATATAAGATAATTTTGGTTAAAAACACTTACTTTATCATGCATATAAACATATTGCTATTTAATGCCATTTTTATTAAGGTTATATTATCAAAAATGAAAGTAGGGGTGCCAATTGGACTGGATTTGATCCAATCTGATTCAGTCCAATGTGAGTCCATTACAAATGGACCAGATCCAATCCAATCCCATGAATATTGTGGACCATTTTGGACTGATCCAATTCAATGACTGGACCGTCTACTCGGTTCAAATTTGTTTTAATTTAGATTAATTCTAACCCAAACCTGGTCCATTGACACCTATATTCTTATCTTCTATCAATGGACCAGATATTGTCTCAATCCAACCCAATCCAATATAAATTCATTATGGATGGACCAGGTCCAATCCAATCCAATAAATACTTTGGACCATTAAGTCCGGGCTGGTCCAATTCAATATGTGTTATTGGTCCATCCAAATTGATTTTGGTTTGGACGGGGTCCAATCCGAAACTGGTCCATTGAAACCCCTAGTTCCAAGTTGTTATTGTCATAGGAAAATTATAGATGTCAAGTATAGTCAAGTTAGGCCTGATTATCCCAATTAATAATCAATTTGGTTCTAGGTCTAATCGATTAAGAATTGGTTCAGGACTGGTCTACTTTGTCTCGAACCAGACTTGACCCATTCATATCTCTCTCTCTCTCTCTATTTCGTGCATTTCAAATTTGAATATCCACATGCAATGCATGTACACATTTACTACAAACATTAAGTTTATTTTTAATCAAATTGTTACTTTTATAAATTTTCAATTTCTATCTTAACTATGATCTTTATAGAATTCAAGTAATTAATATGGAGAAAAATTTTTGACATGCAATGCAAGTGCTTAAGTCACACTACAAATGAGCTTGTTTCCTTGACTAAAATGTATATATATATATATATATATATTTATTTATTTATTTATTTTAGTCCCTTTTCAATTGTCAGGGCAGAAAGTGTAATTTGAATTATCAGTTCTCACCTAATTCAATTCCCTCTAATTAAGTCTTATATTTAATGTATTAATTCACATTCTCTCTCATTACTATATTTAAGGTAATAATAGGACACATATTACTACTGTTGCCATCATAATGACAAAGTTTTTAAGAATATATAGTGATCTACCTAACTCCAGCTTCAGTCATTAAGGAGCCCACAACCTTCTTAAAAACTTATTCACTAAAAGACAAAGCAATAAGTTATAAGTTTTTCAGTTCAACCGCTTCCACTTCAACTGTTACCAAACGGTCCTTCAGATGGTTTAAAATTAATGACATGCTGTAAAATTTAATGTTTAGTTTGATGGAAAATAAAGACTTACTGTTCGTCTTCTATCTACTATGAAACCAAACACAGCCAAGGGTCAAGAAAAGGCAAGCAGAGGGCAAGCGAAAAAGGTGGTGAGTTGAATTAACAAGAAATGATTTTAGAAGGCTTACCATAACAATGGATCCACTTATGGACATGGCGTGATGGCCTTTGATGAAGCAAAATATTAAAAACAGGATTCCCGTTCATGATCCCATGTACTTTAGGTAAGAATTTGTTGGGCTCAATCTATACATTTGCCAGGATTCATTCCTTCATCTTGGCCGACTTAAGCCAAAACCAATGTCACAATGTGCATGGAGAAAATAGTTTCCTACAATTGGAAATAATAAACAATGTCTAGGACTGGTCCAAGATCTGGGAGATTATTGTTCTTGGCACTCCAGTCCTGGGAAGTCGCCAGTCACCAGTCACCAGTGGTGCCACCAATTGCGCCGTCTGTAGCGAAGACAAGGCTTGGCCGACCATTCCTTCCTCGTCTCGCCTCTTCCAAATCCAAAATCCAAGCTGACAGTGTCACCTGCTATCTTGACTAGTCCGAGGACCCCTATTTTACTAAAGCCAGAAGGACAAAGTGTTACTTCCACCATTGAATTTAGGGCTCTCCTCTCATTGCTGATGGAGACTATTACTCTATTCATAATCAGGAGTCCTAGACTGGGTTTGGTTGGTAGCGGCTTCCCTCCTCTTCCCAAATTGATTTATATTGTTAGTTTCATCAGATTTCTGTGTTAAACCACTGTAGAAATGTTCGAATTAACCAGAGACAATGCCGCAAATATATGGTTTCATTTCCTCTGTTACTATCAATTTCCGATAATTCATAGAGAGCCCATTTGGCCACCAGTCAGACTACAGAACCTTAGGTGAACTGCAAACTGACCCACTTCTACCCATTTTCTCTGCAATCAAGGGTCTGTCTGGTCCGGTGAGATTGCTTTATCAAGTATATATTGAAGCTGCAGGACTGCGAGAAGCAAAAGTATGTAGATCCCTACCATTAACTTTTGAAGAGGAAGTTATAAATAAAATGAAATCACAGAGAAGGATGATCTGATTCAAGATGGGTTGGGACTTGGGAAGTAGAGATTCTATAATATTGGTGTTTCATTCCATTTTGATATTGGAAGAAGTAGCTCCCCGAATGTAATTCTAATTCGATCTCTCTGGGAAAGAGCTGGGGAAGTAAGTAAACTTGCCAAAAAGGGAAATGGAAGGAAAATGAGAATCAAGAACGAAGTCACTACTACTCACTAACAGAGAAACAAGATAAAAATAATAAGAAATGCGCCGAGCCGATCAAAAAGCGGAATCTCTCGCCCCTGTCAGCCAAAGTGCGCAGGACAGAAAGAACCATACATGATGCATGTGTCGCCGGCTGTAAGTTGAAGTAAAACGGTGAAAAATTAATATAAAATTACAACTATCTATGATATGAATTAAAAAAGAGGAAAAAATAAAAAAATAAAAGAAGAAAGCGAAAGGAAATGGGGGAAGGGTACCCGATTCAGTTTTCAGTTCAGCCTTTCTCCTTGATTTAATTATTGATTCCTGTTTATATAAATACTGGAAACGTGAGATGTTGCCTCCCAGGCTCCCACTTTAAGCCACTTAATAGGCTTAGCTTTTAACACAGATTGAGAGAGTGTGAAAGAAGCATAACAGACTCGCACTGTTAGAAAAGGAGTGTACAGTGAGCGAAGCAAAATTTTCCTCCATTAATGCTTCTCAGCAATAAAGCGTGATATTTCCTTTTTCACGGATTCCCTCTCAGAATCTGCGACAATCGACGACAGCTTCTTCAACACTTCTCCGTCAACACCCAGTCTAGAGATCTTCTTACTTGCTCTTCTCTGCATTGTGTATAGTATAGACGGAGAGCAGCAGCAGAAGAAGGTAATTATGGAGTTTAGTAAAATGACGTTGGAGATATTCTCCCAGCTTGAGCACAAGTGGCTCTCACATTGCGAATACAAGAAGACCAGAATTCTGAGCATCGATGGTGGAGGAACCAAAGGCCTCGTCGCTGGCGCAGCCTTAATCCATCTTGAAGAGCAGATCCGGGCCAGGACGGGCGATTCTCAAGCTTGTATTATCGATTTCTTTGACGTCCTTGCCGGCACTGGAATAGGCGCCATTTTCGCTACCATGCTGACTGCAGACGACGGCACTGGTCGTCCGCTCTTCTCCGCCAAGGATGCCGTTAAATTTGTACTAGAGAAACACTCTGAGATGTTCAAGATCAAGAATGTAGGGATTCTCCGTCGGCGACAGAGGTTTTCCGATAAGAGCATCGATAATGTGTTAAAAGAGGCGTTACGCAGGAATGATGGTAAAGTTTTGACATTGAAGGACACGTGCAAGCCTCTTCTTGTTCCTTGCTACGACCTCAACAGCTCTGCACCCTTTGTTTTCTCCAGAGCCGACGCTTCGGAGTCTCCGAGCTTTAATTTCGAACTCTGGAAGGTCTGCCGTGCCACATCCGCCACTCCAACCCTCTTCAAACCGTTTGAATTGACCTCCATTGACGGAAAAACGACTTGTCTGGCCATTGACGGAGGTCTTGTCATGAACAACCCCACCGCTGCTGCCGTCACTCACGTCTTGCATAACAAACGGGATTTCCCGTCTGTTAATGGCGTCGAAGACTTGCTTGTTCTGTCATTAGGCAACGGGCCCTTGAGAAGCCCCTCTCACCGGCAACTGCAACGGAGCGGGGAATGCTCCACTCCGTCGGTCGTTGACATTGCTCTCGACGGCGTCTCAGAAACCGTCGATCAGATGCTCGGGAACGCATTCTGCTGGAACCGTACGGACTACGTGAGAATCCAAGTACTGTATTTTTATACATTTACCCCTTTATTAATGTTTTCTATTAAAACGACGGAAGTAAATAACAGACCGTTATTAACGATGCAGGCTAACGGTTTCACAACGGAAACGGAAGAGGATGTGTTGAGGGAGAGAGGAGTGGAGTCGCTACCGTTTGGAGGGAAACGGTTGCTGACGGAGACCAACGGACAGAGAATCGAGAGCTTCGTGCAACGGCTTGTTGCTACGGGGAAGAGCAGCCTACCACCAAGCCCTTGCAAGGAAACCGCCGTTACTCTCCTGGCTAACGGCCGTTAACTTGCCGTTTTAGTTAACAACTCCAACCCCACTTTGTTATTAAGTTATAACCCCTGGTTTACTCAACTGTCTCTATGTCCAAGTTGAATATATCTTGAAAATAATTATAATTTAATTTAATTTTAACTCAATCTATTCTCTGTCTCATCTCTAGTAACCATCTGTGATTCTATCTGTATATCGATTTGGGCGTTTCTCGATTTCTCTGATACCAGTTGGAATTTGGAAACACTTCACAGGAAACCAAAACATATCCTTCGCATATCCCTAAAACTAACTACAGAAGGATGCAGGACCACTGCCATTAATGGGAGCCTTTTCACAGCTTCACTAGATGGACCACTTGCTAAATCGTTTCAAAACGATAACATTGGAGCGTTTGATCAATTTTTAGCTGTTTGGATTTGTCTTTTTTAGGAATCGGAGGCGTATTTTCTCATTAATTGTCGGTTTAATTATTTCCATAGTTTTTCGAAAAATGGTAATACACTTCTATCCGGAGAAGGAACAGGAGAATTGGGACCAAACCCCCGTACTCGGACCCATCTAACCACTACTACAGCGGCACCAACCAGACTCGAGAGACATGGGACCATTGCTATGAATGTCATTGACTTGACACTTTGTAGTTTTCCAAGTAATGAGGGCAGTACGAAACATTAACAGTGAAAAGGAATTTTGAATTCTTTCTTTCATTTTTACATTATTTTTGACAAATTTCTTAAATTATTCTTAATTGTTTAACTGATTGAAAAATTTGCAGTACCCCTAAATTTTCTGATAATCGACTAAATTTACCCTTATTTTTAATATCAGTTAATGTTCTTTCAAAATTCTTACACACGTGACACCACATGATATATAGTTTTTTAAAATTCAATACTACCCTCATCCCTCTTCAACCTTCTCTTCTTTGATAGCCACACCACCAATAGCAACAACGACATCACCACCGGTTCAATACTGAAAAAAAAGCTAAAAACAGAGTAAGGTTGTCCAATGTGTTAATCACTTACGTCGAGGCCCCTCTCCTGCAATTGACACATCAATTGACGTTTAAACCCTTTAAAACGACCTTGTTCCAAGAACTCGGCATACAAGTTCCACTTCCTTATGGATCATTTCTCATAACTTAGATGTCTCCATCCGATGAATCGCACCCCAGGCCTTCTAACATGTCTTTTGTCTCGGTGTACGACAACGGCCGTCCATCTCCATAAATGAGTCGATTAGATCGGGTAAATCAGCATGGTTCAGCTTAGAACCAACAGAGTTAACACTACATGTCAACCTTGTCCTTTGAAAGGAACAAAAATTTGCTCCCTTCAGATTTATCAAACTCACATAGCTTAAGAAACTCAACGCTTCCTTTCAAACTATCAACTATATCCTAGAAGGATGGGTTACTGAGTTGAATCTTCCTGAATTTCTCTTCAAAGATGATCGACGACTCCTAACCTAAATAAATTTGGATTTCTTGTCAAATACATCCAATACAATCAGTTCTAACAAAGCTCTCCCTAGCATGCAGGCCGATGACACCCAGACCGATGGGGGCATGAAACTGGATTTCTTGTCAAGTACTAAAAACACTTGATTTAGATACAAAGATTAATAGAAATCGCACACCCAGTGAGCAAAGATTGTATTGCTTATATAGGTTTACAAGTGGTTGAGTTTGAACCGGATATTTACATTAGATAAGGAACAACTGTACAGTAGTTATTAGTGATATGGATTCTAAGGATAAGATATTGATGACCTAAGAGTTATCTGAAGATTTATCCTTCACATCATAGGGGCGGGACCCCAAACATCAGAGAAAATGAGATCAAATGGTGCTTTAGAGCAATGTGGAGAACGAAGAAAGGGTAATTGCTTACTTTTGGCCAATTGACAGGACTCACAAATTGTAAAATATTCATTAACGGAAGACAAACCATAACGACTAAGGACTCTTTTAACAATAGACAAAGCCGGATGCCCAAGACGAGCCTGCCACTGAGACATGGACACTCTTTCACCAACAAATGTCTGAAGTGATTTATTGGAAGAAAATGACTAAGCATCTTGAACGAAAAAAGCAGCAGACTGCAGGTAGAGACCATGCGCACTAGGTCCTCGAAGGAGCTCCATCCCCATAGGATCCTTCACAACAAAATGAGAGGGGTGAAATTCAAAAACCACATTGTTGTCACGAGTAAATTGAGAAATGGATAGTAAATTTTTAGAGAGAGCAGGAACATGCAGAATATTGTGTGAATGAAAGATAAAATTATTATGAGAGAAGCATGAAGAACCGATATGCTGAATACTAAAACTTGTACCATGTCTTACACGGACTTGGTCAGTACCAGAGTACTCTGAGCGCTGTTGAAGATTGTTGACGTCGGGAGTCATGTGATTTGTTACACCGGAATCAGGGTACTATGCAAGATCATTTGATGAAGAAGCAATAGAGGTTTGGTAGGCTTGCATGGGAGTAGATGCATCAGTTTCACTGGTATAAGAGATGTCAAAATGGTGATGACAGGTCTGAACTACATGTCTTGGCTTCGAGAACAACTGACAGATAACTTTTGGTGTATTATTATTGGAAGTACCAGAAGAATTGGAACCGGAACGTCCACCTCTACTACCATGGCCACGACCTCCTCGAGGATTGTATCCACCACGCGATTGGAAGGGCTAATTCTGATGTGGACGTTGCTGCTGCTATGGTTGAAGGACGACCATATTAGTTGAGAGCAACGAATCAGAGGTTTGATCCTGTTTTAACCAGATTTCATGACTTATCAGAAGGCCATGGAGGTCATTAATAGAAAGATCATCAACATTCATACGAGTTGTAGTAGATGTTACGAATGATTCATATTTCGGCCCGATGCCAGCAAGAAGATAAAGTAAGAGATCCTGTTCTGCAACAGGTTTAGAAATAGTAGCAAGGCATTCAACCAAGGATTTGGCATTCTAGACGTACTCATTTATTGATTGAGCACCCTTTTTTATGGTTTGTAGTTGACGCTGAAATTGTAAAATACGGGCCCGAGAAGGAGAGCCATATGATCGGGCCAGGGATTTCCATATTGCTACAGCTGTAGGTAAGCCAGCTACTTGTGCAATAACACTTTCATTCATAGAAGAAATAAGCCAACTGAGAACTAATTGATCATACCAATGCCAGTTAGAGTAGGCCGAGTTTTGTACCGTTCTTATGCTATCTAATGGATCAGGGATCTCTCTTGGTGGAGGAGTGATAGATCCGTCATCAATTCACACGGGTTGAGGAGAGGATAAAACTAAGCATGCCAGGTGTTGTAATTGTACCCATTAAGTTTAATGGGAGCAATTGAGTTACACCGGGTATTGAAGTAAGATTGGCGAAAAACCAAAGGTTGACGCAGATGCTGCCGAGGGGCTGTTACTGGACATATTGGTGTTGTTGCTAGAGGCCATGAAATCTGAGCTTGGATCAACCGGGAGCTCTGATACCATGAAAACACTTGATTCAGATATAGAGATTAATAGAAATTGCACACCCAGTGAACAGTGAACGAAGATTGTATTGCTTATAGAGGTTTACAAGTGATTGAGTCTGAACTGGATATTTACATCAGATAAGGAATAGTTGTACAATAGTTATCAGTGATAAGGATTCTAAGGATAAGACATCGATGACCTAAGAGTTATCCGAGAACTCTTAGGATTTATCCTTCGCAAGTACAATCAATACCATAAGCCCACTTGTTTCCACTCCGGGATGTTCAGGCCATTGCATTGAGCTTATCGTATTGACGTTATTAAGTAGTAGCTCCGAAACGATGAAGTATGAAACCGGAAGTTGCAAGTTGAATGACAAAAATTCCCGATCAGGTATACGACGGCAGAGGAAGTTGCAGGTCAGTTATACAGTAGGGCATGAAACCGGTTTCAGTCGGAAGTTGCAGCAACACCGTCTCTGCTTTAGCTCAATCCACCTCTTTGCCTTTGCTGATGACTGCTTGCCAACTGGTTTTGGCTGGGCCAGTTCCACTAGCGACACAGGCAGCTGGCATCGCTTGTAGGGGGTTTGGGCGCGTGATGCCTCTGAAGCAACCGACCTTCTACTGTTTCATCCCTTTGTTTATGGTTCATAGCGTTCAGCTCTCGCAAGGCCTCTCCTTTGCTCTATCCACTATCAAATCCGTATAGACCAAGGGGTTTTCATTGTTGCCATTTCATCCCTTTGCTTTCTTTGCCATCAACTCGACGGCGCTCATTGCTGCCAATGTTATCAATTATCAAAGGAGTTTTTAGGTGTAAAAATGATAGGGATGGAAGTGTTGACATCGCCTACAGAACCACCGAATTCAGACCAAATTATGATCTTGAGGCCTAAGCTGATGGCACAGGTTTTGGGGTGTTGGTGGCACCACTCTCGGGGGAGGAGTGGAGAAACCGTCTCACCTGGGGGTTTGGGTGCGTGACATGGAATTCCGGTTGGGATGGGGATCTTAGTGACGACGATAGACACGGAACTGGGAAAGAGTTGCCAACGTTTGAGGAAAGATGGATGGGATTTAACGCGGTAAAATTGATATTTCATCATTTCCGTTAGAATTTAAAGATGATGACAATAATAAAAAATAGGAAGGGTGGTGCAAGATAATAGTTAAATATTAAGGGTATAGTTTATTAATTAACTAAACAATAGGGATAATTTAAGAAATTTGTCTTTTTTTTTTCTTTCCTGGAGGTAGTTGTTTAATGTTTATGCCTTGTGGTGTGCTTTACTCTATAATCAGGCAATCAGCTCAACTAGCCTTTGCTTTTTGGTAGGTAACTTTGGTTGATAAAGGGTGTACTTCTCTGTTTTCTCCCTTAATATTGTGCATAACTAAGCCCATTAATTCCTTACATACATTGGATGTCTTCTTGTTTGTCACTGTGTCTCGCATTGTGTCCTTATTTGGTTAATTTTTTTGGACCAAGGGTTAGCCCCTTATCCATTCTCTTGGTTGTCAAAATATTTGCTTAAGCTAGGACGAGGCTAGTACTTCCTATTTGGTGAGGTGAGGTTAGGGAGTTGGGACTTAGGAGGGTTCTGAGTACTGAGCATGGGCCGTGTGTGAGTCTATCAAATTTAGAGCAA